TATGTGTATATCATTTTAGACAATATCTCCTTGCATCTTGAGTTCTATTCCTACAGTAAAAGCATAAGCGAATGGAAACTCGTGCTATTTTCTTCTGAATCTGGCAGCTCCCTATCAGTGCATTAAAGAGGACGTGGAACAGGGATATCATTGCTGATGTCAGATTGATCTCGGCTCAAAGCAGAGACTACCAGAAAAATGTCTACTTGTGTTTCATTGACTATTCAAAGGCATTTGACTATGTGGACCATAATAAACTGTGGATAACCTTGAGAAGAATAGGAATTCCAGAACAGGTCATTGTGCTCACGAGGAACTTGTACATAGATCAAGAAGCAGTTGTGCAAGCAGAACAAGGAATAGTGCGTAGTCTAAAATCAGGAAAGGCGTGCATCAGCATTGTATCCTCACATCATACTTTAGTCTGATGCTGAGCAAATCAGAGAGGGTGGATTATATGAACAAGAATGTGGCATCAGGATTGGAGGAAAGTTTATTAACAACCTGAGATATATGGCAACCGTGCTTGCTGTAAGTGGGGAGTAATTGAAACACTTACTAATGAAGATCAAGGATGGTAGCCTTCAGTATGGATTAAAACTCAATGTAAGGAAGACCAAAATCCTTACAATGGGATCAATACGTAACATCATAATAAAGGAAGAAAAGGTTGAAGTTGTCAAGAATTTTGTCTTGCTGGGATCCACAAATAATGCTCACGGAAGCAACAATCAAGAAAAGAAACAATCAAGAAGACATATTGCATTGGGTAAATCTGCTCCATAAGCTCTCATTAGAGTACTGAAGAGTAAGGTTGTTACTTTGAGGACTAAGGTGTGCCTGAACCAAGCCACGGTGTCCTCCATTGCTTCATGTGCATGTGAATGTTGGACATTGGATAAGGAAGACCATAGAATCGTTTCATTTGAATTGTGGTGCTGGAAAAGAACATTGAAAGTACCATGGACTGGTAAAAGGAAAAACCAATCTCTGTTGGTAGCTCTATTACATAATATCATGTCAACCTGAAGATATATAAAAGTGAAGGGGTGGAGCCTAGCCTATCAATTAGGCCACAGCCTGATGGTGCCTCCTAGTGGGCATGACCTTCTCATAAGGAGGATCCTAGCAACCTCCCTCTCTTTCTCTGCCTTCATCTTCCTGCTGGTGAGCCACGCTGAGACCTGCCAGAGCTCTGTGATGAACTGCACCATTGGATCCACATGGCTTTGCACCCACCAGCCTAAGATTTTCCTGCATCCCCCATCATTGCAGGTGGCTGTGTGAGTCTAAAGAGGGACTTATGGACTGGTATCAGACTTATGGACCTGAGTTGGATTGGGCTGGGATGTTTTCCTGATATATAAAGCTTCTTGATTTAAAGCTCTTTCTTACACATATGTGTCACTGGATTTCTCTAGTCAACACAGCCTAACACATAAGGCCTGAATGCTCCTTAGAAGCAAGGATGGCAAGACTTCATCTTACATTCTTTGGACATGTTGCCAAGAGAGACCAGTCCCTGGAGAAAGATATCATGCTTGGTAAAGTGGAAGGGCATGACAATGAGGAAGGCCCTCGATGATATGGACTGACGCAGTGGCTGCAGCAACGGGCTCACGCACAGGAACAATTGTGAGGATGGCACAAGATGGTGCAGTGTTTTGTTCTATGGTGCATAGATAGGGTTGTTATAGTCAAAGCCAACTGGATGGTACCTACCAGCAATAACAAGGGGCTCTTCCTTGTTCTAACCTCTCTCCATTCATTTGTACAAGGCAGATGGAGACTAAGGGAAAGCCTTATCTTTCTCCCAATGAGTGAGACACATAGCCCACTATGCCTCAAGGGCGCTTGCTGAGTTACCCTCAAGCCTGACTCAGAAAACTCTTCGGTGCAGAGGAGAACAGGTCCATGGAGTGTCTAAGGCTGTGACCTTTCATAAGCATACCACCATGTATGTTTTCTGAAGAACTAACCTTTTAAGTTTGTTGAGCGCTTCACCATCTACACCTCCCATGAACCCCTCTCTGGCTCTTTGTCAAATTGATCGCTTGCCTGCATTATTACACCTATTCTGCCTTCTGGGAGCTTGGGTGATGCTATAGGTTAAATCTGGGCTGCTAACTGCAAGATGGGTGGTTCAAACTTGCCAGCAACTCCATAGGAGAAAGTGAGGATGGAATTTTGTCTTACATACTTTGGGCATGCTATCAGGTGGGACCAAGAGCCCTGGTGTCATAGCGGCGATGATTTGGGCTGAGAACCACAAGGTCAGCTGCTGGAAACCACCAGTGGCTTCTGGGGCGAAAGATGGGACTTTCTACTCCTGTGAAGAGTTACAGTCTCAGAAACCCACAGGGGCAGCTCTACCCTGTCCTATAGGGTCATTAGGAGTCAGTCAGCACCGACTCAATGGCAGGGAGTTTGTGTTGACCAGTACCTTGAAAAGGACGTCATCTTGGTAAAGTAGAGGGCCCGTGAAACAGAGGGGGACCTTCAATGAAATAACTCTAACACAGTGAATGCAACAGTGGGCTCCCACCCAGGAATGATTGTGAGGATGGGCTGGGACCGGGCAGTGTTTCCTTCTGTTGTACACAGGGCCTCTACGAGTGGGAACTGATTCAGCAGCACCTAACAACACAACCATACTCCTGACATACTCTAGGAGAAGTCTTGGGTCGTTGGTATGAGTCAGCATGTACCCAGTGCATAACACCTGAGGATTGGGAGAGGAGGAGGAGCGAAAATGCAGAAGTGAGTCACCAAGTGGCATGGATGGCAGAACATTGAGGGGATCGCAGTGGAGGAGGGGAAACAAAACAGGTATGGACTGTTGCAGGTGAAGCGGATGCTCTGCTCTATAAACACTCACCTCGCTCGCAATAAAAACTTTTAAAACAAGAAGTTAAAAATAATTGGAGAAAGTTTGACAAGTGATGCTTTGCTTCTATCTCTAAAGTGTCTGTTCTGTGAGACAGGTTCCGTACTATCTTCCTGTGTTTTATACCCAGCATCTGGCATGGCCACCCACCTCAAACCAAACCCGTTGCCATGAAGGTGATTCTGATTCACAGCAACTCTACCGGACAGTGTTAACTGCCCCCACGGGGTTTCTGAGGCTGAGGTTTTGACAAAAGGAGACTGCCACATCTTGCTCCCAGGAGGTGTTGGTCAGCTCAAACAGCCTCTCAGCCAGCACACCCCACACTTGGCTGGCTGCAGTCCCAAGGCTCTTCTTGGCATGGCAAACAACAAAACCTCCACAGCTATCCTTCCAAGGCTGTAAATCTTTAGAGGTTCAGATAGCCTCTTCCTTCTCCCGAGGAGTGGCTGGTGGGTTTGAAGCACTTAGTTCTCAGTTGGCAGCCAACAGCTCAGTGGACAGCACCACCAAGGCTCCTTTCCCGAATGGCAAGCTTCCACAAAGATGGAGGAATCCAGCAACAGGCCACCTCAGGCACCAGCTGTGGGGAGTTGCCTCTAACTACTGGCCAACTCCCACAGAAAACAACGTTGCCAGACACAGGTAGATAAAATAATGCTTTCCCCACCCCCACCCCCCAGGACATTTCCACGGTGGTAAGAGTGTTGACTCCCCAGTAATGGCTTTAAGGGACCCTACTATTTTACAAGCAAAGGGACAGCACTTTCACATCTATTTTATTTGATCCTCAAGGTAGGCATCAATACCTAGATTTAACCAATGAGAAAAAGGAGCCCCTTTGGAAAGGTGTACTCAGTCCAGAGGAGGTCTCACGCTTCTACTATGACTAGTGTCTGGTAGACACTACCCCAGGGCTGCCTGAGAAACTGCCCTATGCCCGCTCTCCTGCCTGGGCCTCCTCACCCCCTTTTGCACCCACCCCCCAGTCAGCTATTCTTCTCTGAGCTGCTCACCCTGAAGGGGCAGAAAGCAGAGCAAATAGTACTCAAGATAGGTTGGGGTGCCGGTTCCTCGAACAATCTAAAATAAAACCGTCTGTGAGCCATTAGAAGCAGCTAGCATCTCCAACGTCTGCAAAGCCTGAGTATGCATTAGAGGACCACAGTCTTGCGAGTTGGGGTTTGGTGAGCATTTTTTTTTCTTTTTCACAGGGGAGAGCGCGAACGCAGTCCCCCACGACCACAAATTATGGGAAATCGCAGGGGTCAGCACATCAGGAGTGCAATGGCTAAGCCTTGCCTGGGAAAACCACCTTCGTGATCATGGTATCTCTCCAACCAGGTAAGTATACTTTTGTGTTTTCTTCTGAGCACCAAAGGCCTGCTGGAGCGAGATAGACTCCAGGATGGACTCCAGGATAGACTTTAAAAACAAGACAAAACAAGGAAACAGAATCAGTTCAATTAGGAGCAGGGTTGGTATCCCACAGGGGTGACTGAAACTTTTCCAGGAAAGGCAGCATGCAAATCGACGCCTTAGTTTCGAGCTCCGGAGAGAACCTTTACAAAATTACCGACCTGGATTAGAGCCGGCACGGAGGGTGCCCGCTTGTGCCAAGACCATCTGGCCATGGACTGAGGGATGTCCCCTGGGAGAATCTCCTTCCTGGGAGCGGTCGAGGCCCGCAGCTGCGCCCTGCGCTTAACTGGCTGCGCAGCCGCCGCGCTTCTTCCGGGACCGCGGGCCACCGGGGCTCTCGCCGCGCCTCCGCTCTGGTTGCCCTGGTAACGAGGACGCGCGCCGCCGGCGCCAAGGCGGTCGTGTGGCGCGGGCTGGGGCACCTCCTCCCCCTTGCGGCGGCCGCGGCGCCGCCCGTGGACCGCGGGAGAGCGCTTCTTGCGCCGCGAAAGCGCGGGTCTCGTGCCGCTCTGCGCTCAGCCAGTGAGAGGCCGGGGGTGTGGTGCCTGGCCGCGGCCGGCGGCTACTTAGGGCCGCGCCGGCCGCCCGGCCCGGCCTCCTTCGCAGTCGGGATCGCGCAGCCGGCGCGTTGCGGCCGCCGCCCGAGCGTTAGGGGCAGTAGGGGGGGTGGGGGGGTGCACCTGGCTGCGTCATGGTGACCTCCTGCCCAGCCAGCCCGGCCAGCCCCGCCGCCCGGATCAGGAGGCGGGACAGCGACCCGAACCTCCGCGCCCCGGTGAAGAAGAGCCGGCGCCTGCGCCTCGGAAGGAAGCAGCGGCTCCAATCCCCGACCTCGCTCCCGCCTCTCGGGGACTCAGGCGTCTGCGACTTGTTCGAGTGCCCCAGCTCCGGCTCGGACGGCGCCGACAGCCCCGCCGCGGCGCGGGGCCGCAGCCCGCAGCCCGGCCCTGCCCAGCGGTGGGCGCAGCTAGACCTCCAGACGTTCCGCGACTACGGCCAGAGCTGCTACGCCTTCCACCGAGCGCGGGAGAGCCTCTTCCACCCGCGGGAGTCGCTGGCGCAGCAGCCACAAGTGAGGCGCTGCTCGAGCCCGCTCCCCGTCCTCTCCGGGCCTCTCCTTTTCTGCTTTGTCTGCCTCCCAGCCCTCGCCGGGCCCGGCCCCGGCCCCAGGCCGGCCGGGAAAGGGGGCCTCGGCTGCCGGGCCCACGGCCTCCGTCTCCCGGTGGAGCAAACGCGGGGCCTCCAGGGCTGGGCTGCCCTCGCCGAAGTCTCCAGGCTGGTTAGTGAGGGCCCGGTGGCTTAGAGCAGTTAACGCAGTTCCTAGGTTCGAGCCCCCGGACTCCTTCCGACCTCGGGGACGTTAGAAACCACCCCGAGCCGGTGGCTTCAGCTGCAAAATGGATCCCCATTGAGTTGCTGGCGGGACTGACACGAGGTAATGCGTTCGAAGCGCTTCGCACAGCGCCAGCCACTGACGCCGGCGCCCCGGCGGCTTCCCCGCCCCCGCGCCCGTTAGGCTGCCGCGCGGGCGGCCCGAGGGCTTCCCACGTTGGGGGGTGCCTTTAGCTTTCTCCGCCTTTTTCCTGCCTTCCTCTCCCGAGAAGCTGTCTGGGTGGACTTGGCTCCTTCCTGCCGCAGCCCCTCCGCCTGACCCGCCGCCGCACCCCTGTCCTCGCCGGCAGGTGACGGCCGAGTCCCGCTGTAAGCTGCTCAGCTGGCTGATCCCCGTGCACCGCCGCTTCGGCCTCTGCTTCGAGTCGCTGTGCCTGGCGGTGAACACTCTGGACCGCTTCCTCGCCACCACCCCGGTGGCCGCCGACTGCTTCCAGCTGCTGGGCGTCACGGCGCTGCTCGTCGCTTGCAAACAGGTACCTCCGCGCCCGACGCCCTGCTCCCTTTCCCGCCGCGTTTGCAAGCGTTGACACCCCGCCGGCGTCACCCAGCCACCGGGTTCCGCACGCTCCAAAGGAACCGTCCGACGCCCGGGGTGAAGGGAGGTTAGAGAGGCGGGGGCCCGGGGCTGGGGGGCGTGGTTGGCACTGCCTCCCCGGGCTGGGGTTCGGGCGTTCGCCCAAGGTGCCCGGCGTTGCAGGTGGAGGTGCACCCGCCGCGCGTGAAGCAGCTCCTGGCCCTGTGCTGCGGCGCCTTCTCCCGACAGCAGCTCTGCAACCTCGAGTGCATCGTGCTGCACAAGCTGCAGTTCGACCTGGGCGCGCCCACCGTCTGCTTCTTCCTGGAGCATTACACGCACACACGCGTCGAGGCCGGGCAGGCCGCGGTCGCCGAAGCCCTGGAGGCGCAGGCGCTGGCGCAGGGGGTGGCGGAGCTGAGCCTAGCGGACTACGCCTTCACCAGCTACACCCCCTCCCTGCTGGCCCTCGGCTGCTTGGCGCTGGCCGACCGCCTGCTGCGCCTTCCGTGCCCGCTGGACCTGCTTCTGGGCGGGCACGCTCAGGCGGCGCTGGAGGACTGCCTAGACAAGCTGCAGCTGCTGGTGGCCCTCAACGAGGCCTCCTTAACGCACGTGCTGCCCCTCCAGATCGGCGAGAAGTGCAGCCTGGCCCCGAGATCGAAATGAAGACGACCCTCGGGCTCTGTGCCCTGGCTCGGCCGCTCGAACGCGCTCCGGACTGCAGCAGTGCGCAGTATTGGCTCGAGGTTGTGGGCTCCTGTTTGGTGGGCAGGTCGTCCTGCAGGTTGTAAATAGTGCCCACGGTAGTGGCGGCTCCTCATTTATTTTGCTGAGAGTACACGAGAGAGCTGAATCTTCCCTCCAATAAAAAGAGGCTGCCTTTCGTGGTTTGTGTGAAGGTTGCCATTGCGGGAGTCTGTCCTTTGAGAAGGGAAAGAGGTGTCAGGCCGGGTAGTAGGGTGGTCGACATCAGTGCATCTCGGGGGCAGCTCTGTAGAGGGCATCTCTGTCAGAAAGCCCTAGGCCGGGTTAATAATGTGGCCCTGTGAAGTATGCCGAGATCCCAGACCTCTGCAGGAGGCTGAGGACTGCGTCTTCCAGGAGCCCAAAGGGAGCTCCATAGGGGGTATCATGTCAAGTAGCCCTGGGCACGCTCCCAGTGGTGGGCTGGTGCCCTCTGCTGGGAAGCCTGGTGGGTGGGGGGAGCACCATAGGTGCGCTATCCTTCGAAGAAGCAAGTGTTCCCGACCTAAAGTTGTTGGAGATTGTGGGTTTTTTTGCAGGTTGTGGTGATATGTTCAAATTGAACCAGAGTAACCTGCAATCACAAGGTTCAATGGTTCACACCTGTCTGCCACTTGCCACGATAGCACACTAATGGCATTGTGTGTTGACCAAGTGTCTAGTACTGTTAGGATTTCTGTAGGATTGCCTCCTCCCAAACACTATGGGGCAAATGACTATCCTGGTTTTCTGAATAGGACATTGGGACTTATGGAGGAAACAAAATTTGAAGGCATTCATGAGGCCAGAGGCTCACCTTTAACCTTCCTCATTAAATTTCCCCACTTGGAGATTGCTATTCATTCTCCACAGGAATATAGCGCTTCCCGAAGTAGCATTCCATTCCGGCAAGTTCTGTGCTCTCCAATCAGGACTACCTGAAAAACTCACTGCCACTGTGTCTATTCCAAATCCGAGGGACCCTACAGGGCTGGGTAGAACTACTGCTGTGGACTAACTGTACAGGAGCAGAAAGCCTCATCTTTCTCTCATGGGGCAGCTGTTGGTTTTGAATTACTGACCTTATAGTTGGCAGCCCAACTGGTAACCTATGCCACCCAGGACAGTCCTGTTTCCAATCACATCACAGGGCCTGTTTTAAAGATAGGGAACTTACTGGAGTTGTGAGACTCTAGTAGGCTATCAATGGCACTCAGTCTGCACTCTCACTGTGGGTAAACTGCAGTTCTAGGATGAAACCTGGAAGAACCGGAATGGCCTTGTTTTTCCAGGTCTCACAAGGTCCCTACCTCTTACAGGGAGCAGCAGCCTTGCAACTTTCTGTTGCTTCTTTAAGTGGGAAATATTTGAGTTTTCCTTTTCTGACAGGTTTCTCCCTTACCTAGTTTCCAGCGTTTGCAGGCTTTACTATGTTGCCTCGGCAAATTTCAGAACCTCGTTTAGGCTTACAGTTGAAACCTGGGCTGTTGTGAAATGGAAAAAAATGGTCGTGTAGGAGTATGAAGAAGGGACCAGACAAATGGCCTCTGGAGTCATTTGAGGTTCCTATTTGAGTGACCCTAAGATAGCCACACCTTTATAAGTCGCACCTGTAAAGTGAGACTAACAGTAGCACACCTCATAGGGTTGGGTAATGAATGAAATGCTTTCACAGTCACCCAGCACTGTTCCTGGCACATTTCTTCAAGACACAGGAAGAAAACTTTTTTCTAGTAATACAACCCCCCCCCCAAAAAAAAACAACAACAAAAAACCTCATAGTGACCACTGAGTTTCTGAGACTTACTTTACAGGAGTAACAAGCCCTGTTTTTCTCCTGGTTTTGAATTGCTGACCTTGCAATTAGCAGCCTAACAAGTAACCACTGTGCCAACAAGGTGGCTCTTTTTTCTAGCGATACAATGCAAAAATCTTACAATAAAAATTGAGGTGAGAACACTGTGTTTAGGATAAATTAAAATATGCAACAACTACAAACAAGCAAACAAAACTCAAGTTAAAGAACCTCTCATTTCTCTTCACTGGCATCCTTCAAGATGCAGGATGCCTAGGGTGCCTTCCTCTGGGCCCCTGGTAACCTTCCTCTCCAGGTGTAATGCTAAAATTTCCAGGAACTTCTTCCTCTTCTACTGCCAAGGGCTTGAAATGGGAACCACCAAGCTGTTGGTAAAATGCTGTTCTATCGTTACATACCAGGAGGAGAAGCAGCCTATTGATCATATGGCCTGTTCCAACTCCTCAAATGTCTGGAGCCCACCGCCTGACTGCAAAGAAGGGTGGGAGGTTGCGGGTGGGGGGAGCTGGTCCTTCTGCAGAAGAATGGCTTTAGGAGCATTTAAGCCCTCAGCCAAGATTGCTATGGGCGATTTGGTTCCAGAATTATCCAGACCAGAGGGCCATAATGTACTGATCATCTGCTATTCCACGTTGTGTTGCCACAAATTATCCATTGTAGATGTATTAGTATATGCGGGAGATTCAAGAAATTCTTCGAAAAAAAGCCATTCTCTTTGTATTTAAGTTTTCCATGAACTCTTTGAAGCCTTCTTGGGATATTTTCCTATCCCACTAGGGGGATTCATTAATATTTGAAAAATACGTTTATTCTGGAAAATTCATAATGATCTCCACGTAGAGAAGCCCCCAAAACAAAACAGTCAAGCACTCCCCTGCCCATCTCACAGGTTGGGCAGTTTATAAGCGTGGGAATGGGGTGAGCACTGTCTTACGGCTGGGCTGCTGGGGTCTAGAGGCTGAAAGTGCAAAGCATTAATGTACGCATACCATGCACCAATCATATCCCATAAAGATCTCATTTGTCTTCACAATAATTCTATGGGAGGTTAGTATTTCTGTTTTTCTTGAAGAACGGGGGCTCAGGGATCTGTTCAAAGGTGATGCCAGATCTCACCCTAAAGCCAGAGCAACACCTAGAACACTGCCACACCGACTCTAGCCAACGGACCTCACCCCACCATGGCCTGCATCTACAGCCTGGGGCAGGCGGACTCAATATACCCCAGTTCTACCATTTGGGTTACCCTCAATTACTGTTAGGGTACCTCATTTCTTAACTCAGAGAATGGATGCAAATAAAAAAGGATCGTTCCTTACTACTAGGTATAAGTAAGGAGCCCTGGCAGTGCAGGGATCTGCATGGTTTGCAGCTCTGCGGGAGGAAGACTGGGCTTTTCCCTCCGGTAAAAAGTCTCTCTGGGAAACCGGAAACCCACAGGGGGTCGCTAAGAGTCAGCCTTGAACCAGGGGCCCTGAGAGTGAGAGAGAGGTATAGATAGATAGGGGGCCCTCGTGGCATAGTGGCTTATGCACTGGGCTGCTAAACCCGTCCTTCAGGTTCATGACCAGTGGGAATCAACTCCGTGGCAGTGATTTTGGGGTTTGTGTCGGAAAGGTATCAGTAAGGTGGCAAGCAAGGTGCCTCTCCGGTGTGAGAGGACAAAAAGACGCCAGTTTCAGACGGCTGTTTGAACTGCATCTGAGTGATGGGAAGCTGAAGCCACCGGGAGAGAGACAGAAACGTGGGTTGGAGGCGACTGGAGCTGCCCACTTGGAGTTTTCAGAAATTGGAGGGGGTGGGGGAGGCGGGTTGTGGGTGTCGCTTTGAGCTGAGCCCCTGCGGGCAGGGGGCTCTGACGGAGGACGAGCGACGGGCGTCCGACCAGAAGAAATTAGGGTCGGCGGCGTGGCGTGGCCAAGGTTTGGAGGCCGGGGCTCTGTTTTCGGGGGGTGGGGATGGGAGCTGCCCCGGGATGTAACAGGAGGAACCCTATGTCCCCTTCGAATTTTGCGGAGCAGAGGAAACTCCGGAGTCTAGCTTTGTCTTTCGGTGTCCCCGCGTGGTTTTTTGGACCTGGGCTGGGAAGAGCAATAAGAACTTTCCCATCCCC